CATCTCTTGTAGCGGGAAAGACATATAAATCATAAGTTACTTGAATCTAGGATTCTTTCTCCTTTTATGTCATGGGCAATGTTAATTTACTTAAATTGGTATTCAAATAAGCCAATCAAATGCATTGGATCTCCTTCTACAAAGCTGCCTAGAGGGGACAGAGCTTAGCGTTAATCCAATCATAAGGATCTGGGTTGGCTCGCTGTCTTGAGGGATGCAGTCTGCCTGAACACATCTTGAGTTTTCTCTATCAAAAGTTTTCAAAATTCAGACAAATCTCATGACACGTAATGGGAGGCAAAACTAGCTATCACAGTTTTATAAGACAACTATAAAGCCCAGTATAAAGCCTCCCTGATTTCATCAGCATGCAGGAATTTCTTGTTGGGGTACAACCGTAACAGTCATTTCTATGCCGTCCCCTCTTAGCCTGCTGAATCAGCACGGCTGGCATTTTAGCCAGAGGAGCTGAAAGAGGCACTGAAAAAGTCCACTTATAAGCAGATTTTGAGTCAGGAATCACTTAATCAATCACTTGCTTGAGCGAGGGGGTTGGACTAGATGATCTCTAGAGGTCCCTTCCAACCTCAACCATTGTGTGATTCTGTAATTTTTGAGCCTTGTAACAATCTGTCACGTGGCAGAAGCACAGATGATCCAAGTTATCTTTTTTCGTAACTTCTGTTCTTGCTAGGTTGCTAGAAGGGTCACTATCTAATGAATACACAGCACAAAAGATGTCTTAACATTTCTTGTTGCTCCGTCTCTTCAGATATGAAGCTCTGGTGCCTGGAAACATTGAGTATGCTGTAAAATATCGAGATAAGGTATATATTTTTGAAAGTGAAGAAAAACTTCAGAAGTTTATGAGGTGAATATACTACTCACATTTTAATCTTTAATCATGTCATAGTTTATACATCTTGACAGTACTTGCTTTTTATCTGGTTAGGTTACCAGAGAAGTACTGGAATTTGAAGCTTCCACGCAAACTCCCTCCAGTAAAGGAACCAATACTACTTACTGCACTTCCCTTAGCTGGATACCTTGAACAGGCTAGTTTTTGCTTCTCTATATTAGATTTAAAAAATAATAATAATTTTATATATAATGTGTATAGAATGTATAATACACCACATCCAGTTTTGGGGGAAGGTTTTTTTTTTTAGTTTAAGTATTTTATTAATGGGATTATATTTAATTGAAAATTGTTTTCAGGTAAGTACTTGCAGTAAAGACACGAAATTTTAAAAAAGCTTTAAAGTGATAGAGCTTGTAATTTTAATAGAAAAAGAAATCAAATAAGGCCTTCAGAGGGGATTATTCCCCTCTGCAAGAATAGCTGCACAATTGTATGATGATTTTTTGACTTTTTATTGTATCTAATATGAATAAATTTTGCTTTGATTTTTAACACAGGTTAGACACAAGCCTATCAGGAATGCTTTAAGGATAGCTAACTATACTCTTAGACAGGAATAGGTAATAAAAAAAAAGAATCATGATCTCTTTCCTCCCAACTTTCTGTTATTTCTGTGGCCTGAAATTCACTGGCTTACTTTAAAGTATACTATAATGTTGGATTTGCAAGACAACAGGATCAGGCTTTTAATATATTTTTGCTCTAGATCTCTGTAATGTTCTTTAAAAACGTTTTATTTCCTTAGGGAGTAGCAACTTCTCTAATAAAAGCTCTGAATGAAGTAGGCTGCTTAAAGCCAAAGTTTCCATTCCTGAGTGTAAAAAAAACTGCTCTGCTGTTTGTGGCCTGTCATTTAAAAGGTAAGGTATAAAAATAATATACCATAAAAATAATGAATCAAATGAATGCAGTAAATCATCTTATATAGCATTGGTAACTCATTTTTGTAGTTTTCTGACGTTCAATTTGGAAAAAATCCTCCTATATACTGATTAAAATACACATTTTCAGGTCTCTTAGGAACAAGTAAGAAACAAGAAAAGTCAACAAGATAGCTAGATATTTTGTGATCTCTCATAAAAATATGAGATTTTAATGATATTTCATCATCAGTCACCTCTCTGCCTTGAAAACATTTCTAACGCACACGATAGTAGGTTGAAATAAGGCAAAATCATAGAATCATAGAATGCTTAAGGTTGGAAGGGACCTAGAGGTCATCTAGTCCAAACCCCCTGCACATGCAGGGTCACCCAGGGCACGTGGCACAGGCCTGCATCCAGGTGGGTTTTGAAGAACTCCAGAGAAGGAGACTCCACAACCTGTCTTGGCAACCTGTTCCAGTGCTCTGTCACTCTCACTGTTAAGAAATTTTTCCTTAATTTCCTGTGGAACCTTTGATGCTTCAGTTTCTGGCCGTTTCCTGTAGTTCTATCAGTGGCCACCACTGAAAAGAGGACAGCACCATCCTCCTCACTGCCTCCCTTAAGGTACTTATAGACACTGATCAGGTCCCCTCTCAACCTTCTCTTCTCCAGGCTGAACAGGCCCAGCTCCCCCAGCCTCTCCTCGTAGGGCAGATGTTCCAGGCCCCTGATCATCCTTGTGGCCCTGCGCTGGACTCTCTCCAGCAGCTCCACATCCCTCTTGCACCATGACACCCAGGTCTTTCTCTGCAGAGCTGCTCTCCAGAAGATCGGTCCCCAGGCTGTACTGGTGTCTGGGGTTATTCCTCCCCAGGTGCAGGACCTTGCACTTGTCTTTCTTTGTTGAATTTCATAAGATTTCTCACTGCCCAGTTAATCCAGTCTGTCCAAGTCCCTTTGGATGGCAGTGCAGGCCTCTGGGCTATTGGATACTCCTCCCAGTTTAGTATAATCAGCAAACTTGCTGAGGCAGCACTCTGTGCCTTCATCCAGGTCATTGATGAATAAATTGAACAGGACTGGACTGAGGACTGACCCCTGGGGGACACCGATAACCACAGGCCTCCAACTAGACTCTGCAGCACTGATCACCACCCTCTCAGCTCTGCGATCCAGCCAATTCCTAATCCACCTCACTGTGGATTTACTTTACTCATTGTAAATTGTGTTGTAAAGTACCATCTACAGAAAAAGAGCTACCTAGGCCAAGACTGCCTTAAATCACCATTTCCCCTTTGCTTCAGCATAACAATTAAAATAATACACAGTAATGGTTTGGCACTCGCTACTTATGTACCCCAAAATATGGCTTAGAACAGGGAGTTAAGGAAGAACAGAAACAACACAACTTCCAATGTAATGTGCCTGGCCTTCAAATGTATGTTTTCTTCTGAACTATCGGGGATATATAGTCAATTCTTCATTTCCTATGGGCGGTGGATTTGGGTCATAGATAAATTGTGTCAAGGATGTGGATATTCCTAAGACGGCTCTGCGCAGGGCCTGTTTGAGTCAGGGCCAACGTATCAGCTTACAGGTACAGAAAGCCAGCTCAAGTTTAGCCCTGAAGGTCTCCCAGGTCTCCCCCCTTCACTGCGTGCTCATCATGGAGCCCTGAGAAAAGCAGAGCAGAGAAGCTGCCCAGAGCGAGCTGGGCACTGCACAAGCAGTATCGAAGGAGAGGAGCTCTGGCCATCGCCTGAGGCACTTGGGGTCTCTGCAATGAACCCTCCCATATGCTGCGCTGTGCAAGAGCCAGGTTAGATACAGCACGGCATGAGTGCAAGAAACTGGCTCAGATCCACTGCAGTGCCCAAGTGAGCTGTATCCCTCTGGGCCTGAAGCTTAGTGCGGGATACAGCTCAAGTTTGGACGGATGTCTAAGCTCCAGCTCAATGTGTCCCCACCACCCAAATCATTTCAGATCTGGCTCTGTCCAGAGTGCCTCCAGCCCCTCGTTGCCCAAAGAACGTGAAGCTAATGGGAGCTCAGAATATTTCTTTTTTTACTAAAGCCTTGGTCTTTCTTGGGGTATGAGCTTCTGAAACACCAGGCAGTTTCTGCTGTTATTTTGGAGTCAACGGCTGCTTTCTGCGGGGCTTTCTGTGCCAGGGGCTCTGCCCGTACGGAGAGCAAAAACACTTGGTGCTGCTCTGATCCATGTCTGATCCAGAGCTAGCGCAGGATGCTGACGTGTTGCTCCATTTCTTGCAGCATACAACCCTCGGAGCTCGGAATACGTACGGAGGAAGTACCGGAGGAAACTGGAGCAGTTCGTGGATCACTGCGCCCTCATCCCCTACCTGGGCGCCAAGATGACGCGCCGCTACAAGGAGCCCCGGAGCAGGCCCGCCGACTTCGACTGCAAGCTGCGGACCTTCCTCTCGCTGAAGGACGCGAAGCCCAGCTTCCTTTAGCTCTCTGGGAGCACTGTTCTTTATCGGAGGGCAGCATCCCCAAGTGCTGCCCACAGCCACGACGCGCCTGGCGCGAAACGTCGTCTGACTCCATTGTTGCAGGGGGAAATGCTTAGAATTTTAATATTACTCTCCTAAACCGCACGAGGCTCAATGTGTGACGCACACGCCTGGGAAAGGGGCGGTTTGGGGTAAATACGCGAGGAAGCGGCGCATGTCGCCATGAACC